AGGCAGCAGCAGACAGCAGTCAGCAGACAGCAGCAGACAGCAGACAACAGACAGCAGCAGACAGCAGCAGACAACAGACAGCAGCAGACAGCAGACAGCAGCAGACAGCAGACAGCAGACAGCAGCAGACAGCAGACAGCAGCAGACAGCAGCAGACAGCAGACAGCAGCAGACAGCAGCAGACAGCAGTCAGCAGCAGACAGCAGTAGACAGCAGACAGCAGACAACAGACAGCAGCAGACCGCAGCAGACAACAGACAACAGACAGCAGCAGACAGCAGCAGACAACAGACAACAGACAGCAGCAGACAGCAGCAGACAACAGACAACAGACAACAGACAGCAGCAGACAGCAGCAGACAGCAGACAGCAGCAGACAGGAGCAGACAGCAGTCAGCAGCAGACAGCAGTAGACAGCAGACAGCAGCAGACAGCAGACAGCAGACAACAGACAGCAGCAGACAGCAGACAGCAGACAACAGACAGCAGCAGACAGCAGACAACAGACAGCAGCAGACAGCAGTAGACAGCAGCAGACCGCAGCAGACAACAGACAACAGACAGCAGCAGACAGCAGCAGACAGCAGTAGACAGCAGACAGCAGACAACAGACAACAGACAGCAGCAGACAGCAGCAGACAGCAGACAGCAGCAGACAGGAGCAGACAGCAGCAGACAGCAGCAGACAGCAGACAGCAGCAGACAGCAGACAGCAGCAGACAGGAGCAGACAGCAGCAGACAGCAGCAGACAGCAGACAGCAGACAGCAGCAGACAGCAGACAGCAGACAGCAGCAGACAGCAGACAGCAGACAGCAGCAGACAGCAGACAGCAGACAGCAGACAGCAGCAGACAGCAGACAGCAGACAGCAGCAGACAGGAGCAGACAGCAGCAGACAGCAGCAGACAGCAGACAGCAGCAGACAACAGACAGCAGCAGACAGCAGACAGCAGACAGCAGCAGACAGCAGGCAGCAGACAGCAGCAGACAGCAGACAGCAGACAGCAGCAGACAGGAGCAGACAGCAGCAGACAGCAGCAGACAGCAGACAGCAGCAGGCAGCAGCAGACAGCATCAGAGAGCAGCAGCAGGCAGCAGCAGACAGCAGCAGACAGGAGCAGACAGCAGCAGACAGCAGACAGCAGACAGCAGCAGACAGGAGCAGACCAGCAGAGAGCAGCAGCAGGCAGCAGCAGACAGCAGACAGCAGCAGTCAGCAGCAGTCAGCAGCAGACAGCAGCAGACAGCAGCAGTCAGCAGCAGACAGCAGCAGACAGCAGCAGACAGCAGCAGACAGCAGACAGCAGCAGACAGCAGCAGACAGCAGCAGACAGCAGCAGACAGCAGACAGCAGACAGCAGCAGACAGCAGCAGACAACAGACAGCAGCAGACAGCAGACAGCAGCAGACAGCAGCAGACAGCAGACAGCAGACAGCAGCAGACAGCAGCAGACAGCAGCAGACAGCAGACAGCAGACAGCAGACAGCAGCAGACAGCAGACAGCAGCAGACAGCAGCAGACAGCAGCAGACAGCAGACAGCAGCAGACAGCAGCAGACAGCAGACAGCAGCAGACAGCAGACAGCAGACAGCAGACAGCAGCAGACAGCAGCAGACAGCAGACAGCAGACAGCAGCAGACAGCAGCAGACAGCAGCAGACAGCAGCAGACAACAGACAGCAGACAGCAGCAGACAGCAGCAGACAGCAGACAGCAGACAGCAGCAGACAGCAGCAGACAGCAGCAGACAACAGACAGCAGCAGACAGCAGACAGCAGCAGACAGCAGCAGACAGCAGATAGCAGACAGCAGCAGACAACAGACAGCAGCAGACAGCAGCAGACAGCAGCAGGCAGCAGCAGACAGCAGCAGACAGCAGCAGACAGCAGCAGTCAGCAGCAGTCAGCAGACAGCAGCAGACAGCAGACAGCAGCAGACAGCAGCAGACAGCAGACAGCAGCAGACAGCAGCAGACAACAGCAGACAGCAGACAGCAGCAGACAGCAGCAGTCAGCAGACAGCAGCAGACAGCAGACAGCAGCAGACAGCAGCAGACAGCAGACAGCAGCAGACAGCAGCAGACAACAGCAGACAGCAGACAGCAGCAGACAGCAGCAGACAGCAGCAGACAGCAGTCAGCAGACAGCAGACAGCAGCAGACAGCAGCAGACAGCAGCAGACAGCAGACAGCAGACAGCAGCAGACAGCAGCAGACAGCAGACAGCAGCAGACAGCAGCAGACAGCAGTCAGCAGACAGCAGCAGACAGCAGACAACAGACAGCAGCAGACAACAGACAGCAGCAGACAGCAGACAGCAGCAGACAGCAGACAGCAGCAGACAGCAGCAGACAGCAGTCAGCAGCAGACAGCAGTAGAAAGCAGTCAGCAGCAGACAGCAGTAGACAGCAGACAGCAGACAACAGACAGCAGCAGACAGCAGACAACAGACAGCAGCAGACAGCAGTAGACAACAGACAACAGACAGCAGCAGACAGCAGACAACAGACAACAGACAGCAGCAGACAGCAGCAGACAGCAGCAGACAGCAGACAGCAGCAGACAGGAGCAGACAGCAGCAGACAGCAGCAGACAGCAGCAGACAGCAGCAGACAGCAGCAGTCAGCAGCAGTCAGCAGACAGCAGCAGACAGCAGACAGCAGCAGACAGCAGCAGACAGCAGCAGACAGCAGCAGACAGCAGCAGACAACAGACAGCAGCAGACAGCAGCAGACAGCAGACAGCAGACAGCAGCAGACAGCAGCAGACAACAGACAGCAGCAGACAGCAGCAGACAGCAGACAGCAGCAGCAGACAGCAGCAGACAGCAGCAGACAGCAGCAGACAGCAGCAGACACCAGCAGTCAGCAGCAGCAGCAGACAGCAGACAGCAGCAGACAGCAGACAGCAGCAGACAGCAGCAGACAGCAGTCAGCAGACAGCAGCAGACAGCAGACAACAGACAGCAGCAGACAGCAGCAGACAACAGACAGCAGCAGACAGCAGACAGCAGCAGACAGCAGACAGCAGACAGCAGCAGACAGCAGACAGCAGCAGACAGCAGCAGACAGCAGACAGCAGCAGACAGCAGCAGACAGCAGTCAGCAGCAGACAGCAGTAGACAGCAGACAGCAGACAACAGACAGCAGCAGACCGCAGCAGACAACAGACAACAGACAGCAGCAGACAGCAGCAGACAGCAGCAGACAACAGACAACAGACAGCAGCAGACAGCAGCAGACAACAGACAACAGACAGCAGCAGACAGCAGCAGACAGCAGACAGCAGCAGACAGGAGCAGACAGCAGTCAGCAGCAGACAGCAGTAGACAGCAGACAGCAGCAGACAGCAGACAGCAGACAACAGACAGCAGCAGACAGCAGACAACAGACAGCAGCAGACAGCAGTAGACAGCAGCAGACCGCAGCAGACAACAGACAACAGACAGCAGCAGACAGCAGTAGACAGCAGACAGCAGACAACAGACAGCAGCAGACAGCAGCAGACAGCAGACAGCAGCAGACAGGAGCAGACAGCAGCAGACAGCAGCAGACAGCAGACAGCAGCAGACAGCAGACAGCAGCAGACAGGAGCAGACAGCAGCAGACAGACAGCAGACAGCAGCAGACAGCAGACAGCAGCAGACAGCAGACAGCAGACAGCAGCAGACAGCAGACAGCAGCAGACAGCAGACAGCAGACAGCAGCAGACAGCAGACAGCAGACAGCAGCAGACAGCAGACAGCAGACAGCAGCAGACAGGAGCAGACAGCAGCAGACAGCAGCAGACAGCAGACAGCAGCAGACAGCAGCAGACAGCAGCAGACAGCAGACAGCAGCAGACAGCAGACAGCAGCAGACAGCAGACAGCAGACAGCAGCAGACAGCAGACAGCAGACAGCAGCAGACAGCAGACAGCAGACAGCAGCAGACAGGAGCAGACAGCAGCAGACAGCAGCAGACAGCAGACAGCAGCAGGCAGCAGCAGACAGCAGCAGAGAGCAGCAGCAGGCAGCAGCAGACAGCAGCAGACAGGAGCAGACAGCAGCAGACAGCAGACAGCAGACAGCAGCAGACAGGAGCAGACAGCAGACAGCAGCAGAGAGCAGCAGCAGGCAGCAGCAGACAGCAGACAGCAGCAGTCAGCAGCAGTCAGCAGCAGACAGCAGCAGACAGCAGCAGACAGCAGCAGACAGCAGCAGACAGCAGCAGACAGCAGCAGACACCGTGGGCGGCACGGTGGCTGAGTGGATAGCACTCTCGCCTCTCAGCAAGAAGGTCCTGGGTTCGAATCCCGGTTGGGCCAGGGCCTTTCTGAGTGGAGTTTGCATGTTCTCCCCGTGTCTGCGTAGGTTTCCTCCGGGTGCTCCGGTTTCCCCTACCACTAAAAATATGTACAATAGGTCTGGCATGTGCCTCCTGTACTGGCGACCCCCACTCCCAAAAAAAATAAATAAACAATTGTAAACCGCTTTGAGACTCCGATGTGTAGTGAAAAGGCGGTATATAAATAAAGATTACCTAAATAAAGATTACTTAAGCAGACAGGAGCAGACAGCAGCAGACAGGAGTAGACAACAGCAGTCAGCAGCAGTCAGCAGCAGCAGGCAGCAGCAGACAGCAGACAGGAGCAGACCATAGACTGTACATATTAACAGACGTAGCCACGCCTGTCTCCGCTGTTCTAACTAATGGGCCAAAAATTGGGCTTTCATGGAGTGATTCAAAATGGCCGCGGGGGCTGGAAAATGTGAAAAAACGCATCTGTGCATGCGTCAGCTGCACGAGCTCCATTCATTTGAACGAGAGACTTCTAAAGTCCACAGCGACTAAACTAGACTGGTCCAGAACACTCAGCATTGACACACATGTGGAACGGAGCTTTGGGCCAAGAGACAACTTTTGGACCATCCTGTAAAGACGTTTTCCAGAGGTAAGAAGATGCTATATGTTAGCATTGGCTAATTCTTATTCCCCCACAGGCCCGGGGTGGTACTGCAGCATGTCAGCGCACGTCATTTTGGACACTTTTGAGCCGGGACCCGCCCACACTGGAGCGTTCAGTCTTACTCTGATTTGGTTAAAACAAACAGAACGTACAGTAACGGTCGACAGATCAATTTAGTGACTGAAGCAGTTTTACACACGATAAGACGATAGCCAAGAGGTTCAACGTTACTATGTTCATTTGTACTATTTATCTGTTTATCTAATTATGTAGAGAGGACACTTAATCACGAACACAGAGAACAGTCTGGGGCATAATGAAAAAACAGTCTATAATGTCATTTACGTCGACACATGAGCCACATACACACTGCTGGGAACATTCAGAGATTCCAACAAACTAACCTGTTTTTCTGTGAAAGGCGCTATATAAATAAATATTACTTACTTAAAACAATCTGTAGTTTTTGAGCTGAGGAGAAACACCAGATCTGCCTGAAATAATCCAGTGATCCCCACAGACTGTGTAAAGATGGACAGTGCTACCTCAGGCTCAGTGAAGCCCAGCAGGGAAGTGCTCATGGACAAAGTTTTGCTCCAACTCACTCTGGCTCCTTCTGACTTACATTGAGAAGTAAACTCACACCCTTTTGGGTTTAAATAATTCGTTGTTAGCGCTCTCTTCAATCATATCTTTTGACATTGTCTTTGCAAATCCAGATCGGAGGATGCCTTGCCCTGGTTACACCGTGAAGCAAACGCCGTCGGAAACAAATGCCCATATAAGGATATTGGCCGCTTCCATATTCAGCAAACAGTCCACTCCTAGTACAAAGTATAAGGTCCTCTCACTAAGGAAACGTTTTCAGCTGATGGCCTTCTCTGTGCGCGCTGTCCGGGTTTAGAACACAATACAACATATTAGATCCCATTTACAGTAAAACCACATTGGAATAACTGCGTGAGGCTGCCCCAGTGAGTACCAGAGAAGGTAGTGCCAGAGCTCGGGCCACAGCACCTCCTCACAAACAGAAGCCTCCTTTATCCTGCCAACACCTCCTCACAAACAGACGCCTCCTTTATCCTGCCAACACCTCCTCACAAACAGAAGCCTCCTTCATCCTGCCAACACCTCCTCACAAACAGACGCCTCCTTTATCCTGCCAGCACCTCCTCACAAACAGAAGCCTCCTTTATCCTGCCAACACCTCCTCACAAACAGAAGCCTCCTTTATCCTGCCAGCACCTCCTCACAAACAGAAGCCTCCTTTATCCTGCCAACACCTCCTCACAAACAGAAGCCTCCTTTATCCTGCCAGCACCTCCTCACAAACAGAAGCCTCCTTTATCCTGCCAACACCTCCTCACAAACAGAAGCCTCCTTTATCCTGCCAACACCTCCTCACAAACAGAAGCCTCCTTTATCCTGCCAACACCTCCTCACAAACAGAAGCCTCCTTTATCCTGCCAACACCTCCTCACAAACAGAAGCCTCCTTTATCCTGCCAACACCTCCTCACAAACAGAAGCCTCCTTTATCCTGCCAACACCTCCTCACAAACAGACGCCTCCTTTATCCTGCCAGCACCTCCTCACAAACAGAAGCCTCCTTTATCCTGCCAACACCTCCTCACAAACAGACGCCTCCTTTATCCTGCCAACACCTCCTCACAAACAGACGCCTCCTTTATCCTGCCAACACCTCCTCACAAACAGAAGCATCACCCATGTAGAGTTTTCGGGTCAGTGCTTTTGTCCTGTGACCTACTTATGATTGTGATGTTGAAACTACCTTTGTCGTACATGTATGTGTGTGTACATGTATGTGTGTGTACTTGTATGTGTGTGTACATGTATGTGTGTGTACATATATGTGTGTGTACATGTATGTGTGTACATGTATGTGTGTGTACATGTATGTGTGTACATGTATGTGTGTGTACATGTATGTGTGTGTACATGTATGTGTGTGTGTACAGTATGTGTGTGTACATGTATGTGTGTGTACATGTGTGTGTGTGTACATGTATGTGTGTACATGTATGTGTGTGTGTGTGTACATGTATGTGTGTGTACATGTATGTGTGTGTGTGTGTGTGTACATGTATGTGTGTGTACATGTATGTGTGTGTACATGTATGTGTGTGTGTACATGTATGTGTGTGTACATGTATGTGTGTGTACATGTATGTGTGTGTGTACATGTATGTGTGTGTACATGTATGTGTGTGTACATGTATGTGTGTGTACATGTATGTGTGTGTGTACATGTATGTGTGTGTACATGTATGTGTGTGTACATGTATGTGTGTGTGTACATGTATGTGTGTGTACATGTATGTGTGTGTACATGTATGTGTGTGTGTACATGTATGTGTGTGTACATGTATGTGTGTGTACATGTATGTGTGTGTACATGTATGTGTGTGTACATGTATGCGTGTGTACATGTATGTGTGTGTACATGTATGTGTGTGTGTGTACATGTATGTGTGTGTACATGTATGTGTGTGTACATGTATGTGTGTGTACATGCATGTGTGTGTACATATATGTGTGTGTGTGTACATGTATGTGTGTGTACATGTATGTGTGTGTACATGTATGTGTGTGTACATGTATGTGTGTGTACATGTATGTGTGTGTGTGTGTACATGTATGTGTGTGTACATGTATGTGTGTGTGTACATGTATGTGTGTGTACATGTATGTGTGTGTACATGTATGTGTGTGTGTACATGTATGTGTGTGTACATGTATGTGTGTGTGTACATGTATGTGTGTGTGTACATGTATGTGTGTGTACATGTATGTGTGTGTACATGTATGTGTGTGTGTGTACATGTGTGTACATGTGTGTGTGTGTACATGTATGTGTGTGTGTGTACATGTGTGTATGTGTGTGTGTGTACATGTATGTGTGTGTACATGTATGTGTGTGTACATGTATGTGTGTGTGTACATGTATGTGTGTGTACATGTATGTGTGTGTACATGTATGTGTGTGTACATGTATGTGTGTGTACATGTATGTGTGTGTGTACATGTATGTGTGTGTACATGTATGTGTGTGTGAACATGTATGTGTGTGTACATGCATGTGTGTATACATGTATGTGTGTGTGTACATGTATGTGTGTGTACATGCATGTGTGTGTGTGTACATGTATGTGTGTGTACATGTATGTGTGTGTACATATATGTGTGTGTGTACATGTATGTGTGTGTACATGTATGTGTGTGTGAACATGTATGTGTGTGTACATGCATGTGTGTATACATGTATGTGTGTGTGTACATGTATGTGTGTGTACATGCATGTGTGTGTGTGTACATGTATGTGTGTGTACATGTATGTGTGTGTACATATATGTGTGTGTGTACATGTATGTGTGTGTAGATGTATGTGTGTGTACATGCATGTGTGTGTGTACATGTATGTGTGTGTACATGCATGTGTGTGTGTGTACATGTATGTGTGTGTACATGCATGTGTGTGTGTACATGTATGTGTGTGTACATGCATGTGTGTGTGTACATGTATGTGTGTGTGTACATGTATGTGTGTGTACATATATGTGTGTGTACATGTATGTGTGTGTACATGTATGTGTGTGTACATGCATTGGTGTGTGTACATGTATGTGTGTGTACATGCATGTGTGTGTGTGTACATGTATGTGTGTGTACATGCATGTGTGTGTGTACATGTATGTGTGTGTACATGTATGTGTGTGTACATGCATGTGTGTGTGTGTACATGTATGTGTGTGTACATGCATGTGTGTGTGTACATGTATGTGTGTGTACATGTGTTTCATGTTAGGCCTGTTTTAGACTCAGTTTGGTGTAAAATCTGTTTTCATTATTGTTGTGAAAAGTTTGAAAACCACAAACTGTGATTATTGTTGTGATTTGAGAACGTCGGAAAGTCCTGGACACTGTGAGAAACTTCCACTTTACATAACGGTAGAAAAAACCTGGAATTTGAAGCATTTTATTAACTGCATTTTGAACATACTTTTGGTCCTGGAAACATTATTTTCTGCTTCTCGGGGAACACTTAAACGCCTCAACACAAAAACACTGCAGCTTGAACTGGGACTGACCTGGTTGGCAGCCTCAGTGGAAAGAAAGGAACTGAACTCTTCCTCTGCTCCTCCTCCTCCTCTTCCTCTTCCTCCCTCTCCTCCTCTCCCTCTCTTCCTCCTCCTCCTCCTCATCTTCATCCTCCTCCTCCTCCTCCTCCTCCTCCTCCTCCCTCCAACAGACTGTCCCGGGCCCTCGGCAGTGACACTTTCATGTCCCGTCCAAAAGCATATGAAGACATTTGGAGACAGTTGGAGAGAGCGTTAGACGACACTCTGTGGTTCGATGGCAGTGGATCAAGGAGTTCTTAGAGATCAGAGACTTGCTGCAATGCATCATGGGTCAAACAGAGGTCGACTAATGATATTTTGGATGCATCTGATGCAAACTGGAAGCATGAATAAGTATTCTGCCAAAGAAAAGACACAGCAGCTCTGCTTGTTACAAGGCATATAGCACAGGGACTGGCCTCCTACTGGGACTCTGAGGAGCACAGGGACTGGCCTCCTACTGGGAATCTGAGGAGCACAGGGACTGGCCTCCTACTGGGACTCTGAGGAGCACAGGGACTGGCCTCCTGCTGGGACTCTGAGGAGCACAGGGACTGGCCTCCTGCTGGGACTCTGAGGAGCACAGGGACTGGCCTCCTGCTGGGACTCTGAGGAGCACAGGGACTGGCCTCCTACTGGGACTCTGAGGAGCACAGGGACTGGCCTCCTACTGGGACTCTGAGGAGCACAGGGACTGGCCTCCTGTTGGGACTCTGAGGAGCACAGGGACTGGCCTCCTACTGGGACTCTGAGGAGCACAGGGACTGGCCTCCTGTTGGGACTCTGAGGAGCACAGGGACTGGCCTCCTATTGGGACTCTGAGGAGCACAGGGACTGGACTCCTGCTGGGACTCTGAGGAGCACAGGGACTGGACTCCTGCTGGGACTCTGAGGAGCATAGGGACTGGACTCCTGCTGGGACTCTGAGGAGCATAGGGACTGGACTCCTGCTGGGACTCTGAGGAGCATAGGGACTGGACTCCTGCTGGGACTCTGAGGAGCACAGGGACCGGCCTCCTGCTGGGAATCTGAGGAGCATAGGGACTGGACTCCTGCTGGGACTCTGAGGAGCACAGGGACTGGCCTCCAGCTGGGACTCTGAGGAGCACAGGGACTGGCCTCCAGCTGGTCCCAGAGTCAGACCTTGACATGGAGAGGCAGTGATTCAAATCCACTAAACAAAAACGAGCCAAGACAGCTACGCACACACAGAGAGAACAAGCAAACTCCGCACAGAAAGGCCTGGAGGTGGAATCAAAGGACAGAGGCAGAGGCAGAGGCAGAGGCAGAGGCAGAGACAGAGGCAGAGACAGAGGCAGAGACAGAGACAGAGGCAGAGACAGAGGCAGAGGCAGAGGCAGAGGCAGAGACAGAGACAGAGACAGAGGCAGAGGCAGAGGCAGAGGCAGAGGCAGAGACAGAGGCAGAGGCAGAGGCAGAGGCAGAGACAGAGACAGAGACAGAGGCAGAGACAGAGGCAGAGGCAGAGGCAGAGGCAGAGGAAGAGGAAGAGGAAGAGGCAGAGACAGAGACAGAGGCAGAGACAGAGGCAGAGACAGAGGCAGAGGCAGAGGCAGAGGCAGAGGAAGAGGAAGAGGAAGAGGCAGGGGCAAGGGCAAGGGCAGAGAACCACACAATTTGCAGTAATGGGAGGTCAAGCATAAATGTACCGTCCACTGTCATGGCAACGGGAATAACACACAGCTCCATAATGTGCAGTTTACACACACGCCAAAACACAGGTTTGGTTTTCTGATCCTGACCATAAACCCGAGTCCTGCTCACAGATCGCACCAGGCCTTGGTCCTTGGCTTGGCTTTGCTGCATTGAAAGATGCGATTCTCGTGGGGGGGGGGGGGGGGGGGTGTTGAGAGGGGGGTAACTCAGTCTGTGACCCTCTTGAACTAACACAGGACACACACACACACAAAAAACACACACACACAGGACACACACACACACAGGAGACACACACAGACACACACACAGGACACACACACACAGACACACAAAACACACACACACACAGGAGACACACACACACAGGAGACACACACAGACACACACACAGGACACACACACACAGACACACAAAACACACACACACACAGGAGACACACACAGACACACACAGACACACACACACACACACAGGACACAGGCCCAAACACTCTCTGACCAAACACTGATCTCTCATCACTCCTTTTGCAGTTATGTTTTAAGCAGTGTTTTGACATGTGTCTGGTTCTCCTGGTTCTTGCTGATCCTGGTTCTTGCTGATCCTGGTTCTTGCTGATCCTGGTTCTTACTGATCCTGGTTCTTACTGATCCTGGTTCTTACTGATCCTGGTTCTTACTGATCCTCTCTCTGCTACACACAGCGGCTCGCAGAAGAATGTGGACGAAGACTTTCTCTTCGTCTGTTGCGTTTGCTGGAGTCAAAAACATGATCAAATGTGAAAAAGTTAAAGTTATAAAACAAGAAGCCTCTGTATAATAATCTAAGACAGTCCAGGTCCAGGCCTTTCACAGAGCTGCTTCCTCTGCTGCTCATGTGACTTCTGACAAATGCAAAAATAATTCATGAAGCAGTTTCTGTGCTTCCCTTGGGTCAAAAACGCCTCAGATGATTAAACATAGAAGAGAAATACCCAAAGTCGGGGTCTAAAAGAGTCTAAAAGAGTCTAAAAGAGTCTAAATGATCCAGGTCACGTTATGGGAAGTCCTCAAAACTCAGCTTGAAACATAAATATTTAGGATACTATTAAATCTGTGACGTTGACTTCTTTGATCCACAGAGAAATTGTGTTGCCACAGCAGCTCGCAGAGTATTTCACAATCAAGAATAAAAATATCATTAAAGTAGCAAACTAAAAATATGAATACTAATGAGATAATGTGAGAAAACTAAACATGTGTTGATGTCCATGAATGAGGAAGAAACTCACGACGTCTTCTTCAAACCCGTTCAGACGTTCACCTGTGTGTGTTTGGTCATGAGCCAGATGTGTCTGTTTCCTTTGGACCCATTTGGACTTGTTTAGCTCTGGTTTGGACTCTCTAATCCTCCTGTGACTGTGACCGAGGCGTCCGTCAGAGTCTTATCGTGACGGGAATCCAACCTCCATCTTAATATTTACACAGAATAGACTGTGAGGATCAGAAGTGTTCATGCGGCGATGAGAGGGAGACTGTGAGGTGTGGAAGAGGATCTGGAATCTGTAGTTAGTGACTAGAATCTGAGCCATCGGAGCCGGACCAGTGCTGACCCGGTCTCTGGTTCTGTGGCCTCGTGGTGGTGTGTTTGTCTGCGGAGCGTGAGGAGGAGGCCCTTCAGCTGTTTTGGCCCCGGTTGTGTCTGGATTCCGGGTCTTCCCCACTCTCCCCGGGGCCCGGCCGGTGTCCTCTTTCCCCCAAATGAAGAAATCCACATTTCTGCTGTTGTCGGAGCGGGTCACGGCGTCTGCAGACGGTGTCAGGTCTGGGGACCGGACCACAGAGAAAGGTCCAGCTACGTTTTTACTTTCAGGTCGTTAAAGCTGGGGTACGTAACTTTTAAGTCATGTTCAAGACCCAGTTTGAGTCCTGGTACCTCTGGGTCTCCTTCAGACCCAGTTTGAGTCCTGGTACCTCTGGGTCTCCTTCAGACCCAGTTTGAGTCCTGGTACCTGTGGGTCTCCTTCAGACCCAGTTTGAGTCCTGGTACCTCTGGGTCTCCTTCAGACCCAGTTTGAGTCCTGGTACCTGTGGGTCTCCTTCAGACCCAGTTTGAGTCCTGGTACCTCTGGGTCTCCTTCAGACCCAGTTTGAGTCCTGGTACCTGTGGGTCTCCTTCAGACCCAGTTTGAGTCCTGGTACCTCTGGGTCTCCTTCAGACCCAGTTTGAGTCCTGGTACCTCTGGGTCTCCTTCAGACCCAGTTTGAGTCCTGGTACCTGTGGGTAATCAGCCGCTTGTGGACCCGTGTTACTAATACACACTGATATGATCCATGAAGCACACGAGCAGCAGGGCCCACAGGGACTAAACATATATCACAGGGACTGTCATGGTACAGGCTGCTGACATGCAACAACAACCACCACCAACAACAACAACAACAACAACAACAACAACCACCACCAACAACAACAACAACAACCACCAACAACAACCACCACCAACAACAACAACAACCACCAACAACAACCACCACCAACAACAACAACAACAACCACCACCAACAACAACAACAACAACCACCACCAACAACAACAACAACAACAACCACCAACAACAAACACCAACAACAACCACCACAACCACCACCAACAACAACAACAACAACCACCACCACCAACAACAACAACAACCACCAACAACAACCACCACTAACAACAACAACAACAACAACCACCAACAACCACCACCACCAACAACCACCACAACCACCAACAACAACCACCACCAACAACAACAACAAACAACAACCACCACCACCAACAACAACAACCACCAACAACAACAACAACAACCACCACCACCAACAACAACAACAACCACCAACAACAACCACCAACAACAACAACCACCACCACCAACAACAACAACCACCAACAACAACAACCAACAACAACAACAACAACCACCACCAACAACAACAACAACCACCACCACCAACAACAACAACAACAACAACCACAACAACTACCACCAACAACAACAACAACAACAACCACCAACAACAACAACAACAACCACCAACAACAACAACCACCAACAACAACCACCAACAACAACCACCAACAACAACAACAACAACCACCACCAACAACAACAACAACAACAACCACCAACAACTACCACCAACAACAACAACAACCACCAACAACAACAACAACAACCACCACCAACAACAACAACAACAACCACCAACAACAACCACCAACAACAACAACCACCAACAACAACAACAACAACAACAACCACAACAACCACCAACAACAACCACCAACAACAACAACAACAACCACCACCAACAACAACCAACAACAACCACCAACAACAACAACAAACCACCAACAACAACAACAACAACACCACCACCAAACAACAACCAACAACAACAACAACCACCACCAACAACAACAACAACAACCACCACCACCAACAACAACAACAACCACAACAACCACAACAACCACCACCAACCACCAACAACCACCACCACCAACAACAACAACAACCACCACCACCAACAACAACAACAACCACCACCAACAACAACAACAACAACCACCAACAACAACAACAACAACAACAACAACCACCACCAACAACAACAACAACAACCACCAACAACAACAACCACCAACAACAACCACCAACAACAACCACCAACAACAACAACAACCACCACCAACAACAACAACAACAACAACCACCAACAACTACCACCAACAACAACAACAACCACCACCAACAACAACAACCACCACCAACAACAACAACAAACAACCACCAACAACAACAACAACAACCACCACCAACAACAACAACAACAACCACCAACAACAACCACCAACAACAACAACCACCAACAACAACCACCAACAACAACAACAACAACCACCACCAACAACAACCAACAACAACCACCAACAACAACAACAACCACCAACAACAACAACAACAACCACCACCAACAACAACCAACAACAACCACCAACAACAACAACAACAACCACACAACAACAACAACAACAACCCACCACCACCAACAACAACAACAACCACAACAACCACAACAACCACCACCAACCACCAACAACCACCACCACCAACAACAACAACAACCACCACCAACCACCTCTGAGAGCGGAGAGGCCGTCACTGTTGGACTCATGTAGCACTGAGCTAGAGAAGCACTAACTTCAAATCATACGCTCTATCAGTCCATCTGTGTCCCAGAGAATGTGTTTAAGGAGGAATGGGCCAGAATTCCAGCTAGCTATTGAGAAGCTACTTGAAACTTTTGACTCAAGTTTGACTCAAATACTAAGGAAATGTGGAAGTTTGTTTGTCTTTCTCTGGGGTCCACATTAGGACATGGCTCTGGTGGGCCGGCCCAAGTTCCTGTGGTTTATTTACAATAACAATAACTGAATGAATGAATAAACATCTCTGACTTTAGCATGACGCAGAAGCAAGTATGACATCTCTACAACCTTAGACTGAGTCTAGAACCTCCAAGTTTAACATAGTAAAGAAGAATAAATCCTGCTGTACATGACATAACTCTTGGACACGTGTTTGCTTTGACATTAGTGTCGTGTCCTGTTTCCACGGTAACTGCAGCTGTTCCATTGTCTGGGACTGACCACTGGACCACAGGGCTCTCTCCTCTCTCTATCCTCCCCCCCCCCCCTCTCCTCTCCTCTCCCCCTCTCCTCTCCTCTCCTCTACCCCTCTCTCCCCCCTCTCTCTCCCCCTCTCTCTTCAGCCTGGGCAGACTTACTGCTGTGACAGAGCAGATTGTGGTCTCCTCTGAGTCTATTCTTAGACTCTGGGTCCTTGTAAAAAGAAAATCCCAAAAGCAAAGTGTTGTTTTTTATACTAAGTATTTTGAAAGGGGATTATTCTGATTATTGTGAGTTGAAAAATATGAATCATTTTGGAAACAGGAAATATTACGTCTGATTTAATTTAACGAGTTATAGAATCCTGTAGAAAGATGAATTCCAGCACAAAAACAAATAATAAAGACATGAACATTAAGACAAATGTTAATGTCTGTCATATTCATATTGAGAATGAGATTAATACGTGTTTTTTTATTCCATAAGTGTTAGATCTAGTCCACATTCCAGCAGCAGCATTAGCATTAGCATTAGCATTAGCATTAGCATTAGCATTAGCATTAGCTCCAGCTCGTGTTAAATAGGTTCAGTCTGAGGCTATTTTTAGGGATATGAAATGCTATATAATGAAATGCAGAGGCTACGGCTAAAAGTAGCTGCAGCCAGAGACGGAAACAGAACTGGAAAATGTGTTTAAACCTGTGCCAGGGTTTGGTTTTCTTTCTGGCAAATGTTGAGATGTCATTATTTTATGACCTGCTACAAAACGATGTAATATATTATTTTTAATATACATTTAAAGGCCTTCTCATTATAAACTGAAGAGCCAATGGTGACATATTCAAAGTCTGCAGAGGGGTCGCTAACGGCTAATGCTAATGCTAAACCACAACCAATAAAACAAGGTGCCATCCATCCAGTTTCCCTGAGACTATGGGCTTTAAAATGAAGTATAACATGCCATAGTCCGTCACCATCAATGCTGTTAAATGACTGCATTAATAATGTCCGGGTTCGGCCCACGGGCCTGAGTTTGGACATGTAGAAACAGCTGCGACGGGTCTGTCTGAAACCTGGGTCTGGCCTTTTATGGGTTGAAAACACAGAGTTTCTGTAAAAGCGTTTTCCCACAGATATCTGCTGCAATTACCACAAAAACATTCAATCACTTCTCATTAGTGCAGAGCGCAAAGGTCCAAACGAAACTAAACACACGGAACACAGCCTCGGAAGAAAAGAGAGTCAAATAAAATGTTCACAATGAATTCAAGGTGTATCCTCATCCTTTGTTCTATAATAAAATGATAATAATAATATGGTTTTAGTTTATATGTATATATAATAATATATCGTTTTATAAAGCGCTTTTCTGGACTCTCAAAGTTGCATCATTATTCTCTCTCTCCAAACACGGTGGTGATAAACTACTACTGTAGCCACAGCTGCCCTGGGGCACACTGACAGAAGCGAGGCAACCAGTCTGTGCCATCAGCCCCTCCCACCACCACCAACCACTCACACACACACCAGACTCATTCTAATGTGGGGGAAGTGTCTTGCCCAAGGACACAACCACAGTTTGGCACTTTACAGCCGCAGCCGCCCCACTGTGGCACCTGCTGTTCAGAGGTCTCCCATCACAGCACTAACCAGGCCCTGCCCTGCTTAGCTTCAGAGGTCTCCCATCACAGCACTAACCAGGCCCTGCCCTGCTTAGCTTCAGAGGTCTCCCATCGCGGCACTAACCAGGCCCTTATACATATATATAAAGGTGACTTTCTTCGGACAAACTACATTAATACCAAGTTGAATGTTTTGGTCTGATTATAGAATATCAAAGATCAAAGAGAATAAAAACATAATCAGGTTTGTTTCAGACCAGATTACAGACGTTTGGTAAACTCAACAGTGAAAACTCTGGGAGAGACTGTGGCTTTGATTCCACCCGGGACTGAGCCAGGACTGAGCCAAGACCGAGCCAAGACCGAGCCAGGACCGAGCCAGGACCGAGCCAGAGTGATGCCATCCAAACGAGACAGGATGTGAGCAAATACCATGGATCTATAATAATAACAGGATAGAGTATTACTTACTTACAGCTGTCCCACCCATGGCCACAGGGGGCGCTGTGGTACTGCAGACTAAACTCACGAGGGCTACCCAGAAAAAAGTCCCATAGAACTCAATGTAAACTAAAACAGCTCGACCTCAGATGACAGAAAACCTGACAGAGAACCTGACAGAGAACCTGACAGAGAACCTGACAGAGAACCTGACAGAGAACCTGACAGAGAACCTGACAGAGAACCTACAGCTTTTATAAAGATCAGATTTTGTGGGGATGTTAGTGTCCCTTGCGGCCGAGCCCCTCTGTGCATGTGCATGAAAGCCACACACGCGTATTTGGAGCAAAGCATCATGGGAGCTTGTCTACTGCGCAGAACCAGGAGGACCAGACGGTGCCCAAGTACAGGCGAGTTCTGCTAATCTCCCGGTCTCCGTGAAGTCCCATGAGCCACTGAGCACAAGCCGTTCATTTGAACAGGACGCCATCTTGGATCACCGGGGCTTGGCAAATATCCACTAAATAAAAAAGAGAGAGAAAGAAAACACAAAACATATAAAATGAGAAACTGAGCAGCGAGCGGCTCGGGAAAGAGCTGTGGAGTCGTTTGCATGTTCTCCTTGTGTTGCTGCAGGTTTCCTCCAGGTGATCCGGTTTCCTCTACCGCTAAAAACATGTACGTTATGTACAATCCTCCAGCTCAATATCAGTATCTGCAGGATCAGTATTAGTACTATTGGTGTTATTAGTATTAGCATTAGTATTAGTATTAGTATTAGGGTTAGTATTAGTATTAGCATTAGTATTAGTATTAGTATTAGGGTTAGTATTAGTATTAGTATTAGTATTAGGGTTAGTATTAGTATTAGCATTAGTATTAGTATTAGGGTTAGTATTAGTATTAGGGTTAGTATTAGTAATAGTATTAGGGTTAGTATTAGTATTAGTATTAGTATTAGTATTAGGGTTAGTATTAGTATTAGTATTAGGGTTAGTATTAGTATTAGTATTAGGGTTAGTATTAGTATTAGTATTAGGGTTAGTATTAGTATTAGGGTTAGTATTAGTATTAGTATTAGTATTAGTATTAGGGTTAGTATTAGTATTAGGGTTAGGGTTAGTATTAGTATTAGTATTAGGGCTAGTATTAGTATTAGCATTAGGGTTAGTATTAGTATTAGTATTAGGGTTAGTATTAGCATTAGTATTAGTATTAGTATTAGGGTTAGTATTAGTATTAGTATTAGGGTTAGTATTAGTATTAGTATTAGTATTAGGGTTAGTATTAGTATTAGTATTAGGGTTAGTATTAGTATTAGTATTAGGGTTAGTATTAGTATTAGCATTAGTATTAGTATTAGGGTTAGTATTAGTATTAGCATTAGTATTAGTATTAGTATTAGGGTTAGTATTAGTATTAGCATTAGTAATAGTATTAGTATTAGTCTTCTGCTTTCGGTTGAGTGTTTCATTAACTCAACCTTGTCACAGTTTAACACAAAAAGAAATGTGACGCAGAAGAACTCTGGTCTTTCCATTTCTTGGTATTATTTTGTAAAACTGTAAATACATACAGTAAAAAACATGTATTAGAACAAAACTCAAAAGGAAAAATGAATTGAACACAAACTAAATATTGATTCTACACAAAGGCTCGTTAACATTCAAACACTCACAGATTATGTCTTTCCAAAGATACAGCAGAAAAACGGGTGATAAAAGGGCACATAGAGGAGCGGACCACGGGGGAACTCTTCCTAGGGCTAGGGTGGGGCCAACGTTAGAACAAAAAAATAAGGGACACTTTTTTGGTGGATCGGGTTGAGCACTTTTTAGTCCTAATTTCAATCCACACAGTAATGATGGAATTTGGCTGGTCAAGGATTTAATGCATTCTTATTAGTAATACAAATATCAAAAGACAAATACTGTAACATACATTATTTATGTGTGTAACAGTAAAGACCATTTAGTGTAAAAAAAAAAAGAAAAGAAAAAAGAGTAACATATGTATTCATTAAAAAAAACTCACAAATGTTGAAATCAAAGTCTGTAGCAGTTAGACATGGTCATTATTTATATTTAGTTTAGTGCGTGTACATGGCTTCAGTAAAAGCTATTGTTCGTTTACAGCTGGTCTGGACATTTGTTGACGGTCCCTAAGCTTTTCTCGGCGCTTGCAGTGCACTGGATTCAATGGATTTCTCTGCATTAAAACAGTGCATTAGATTTGAAAAATCAAAGTAGAGATAATCATTTTAGCAAATTACTTTTGTTTAACAAAGTAGCTTTAGTGAGCTATTGACCGCGGAAGTCCGAATCTGGGAATATGACGCTACTTTACCAAACTTCTGCTGTGATGATGCTGCGGGCACGGCCCATGCTGTCGATTGTCAACATTAAACCAATGCATGTGATCGAGCTTTTTATCAAATTATTCTACTAAACATATCAAACTATGACAGAATTATTAGTAGTAGT